CAAAATTCTAACTTTGACTGCTATCTTTATCCTAGAGTCTGTTTGCCTTATGCATAAAGGGCAAATAAATCCAAATGCTGCTAATTATGCCCTTAGGCAAACTGCAAACCAACTTGTACCCCTTCCTATACCTACCTAGACTAACTTTTACCAAAGAATCAGTAATCTATGTTGTCAAGTTATACAACCACCTCTCTATCGAATTCAGGTCGATAAAATAATTTTAAAAATTTAGAAAAGCAGTAATGCTTCGAAAATTATCCCTTTTACAATTGTGATGAATACTATGCTGAAGCACTGTCCTAGACTGTATCTTTCATTTTTTGGTTTAACTTATCTATTTTTACAATTATGACATGCAATAATGCCTGCTCTATTACGCTTAGTTCCTAAGGTTGTGATATCTTTCTGTTGATTGTTTTATTACATTTCGTTTGTTTTTTAACTATCAAAATTAGGTTACAGTTTAAGTAGTTATTAGTATATGAAACTTGTTTGTCTGGATTTTTCGGCTATAGTGTTTGAATTGATTCCATTTGCTCTTCAAAGCTGTTGGTATCTGCTTGTGTTTAACTTGGGAATTGTGTCTCCGTTAGAAGCTCGAGGGTTTCTTTGCTGGATTCTTCCACGTATCGTCAGGCCTTCAGACTGCTCCAGGGACAGTTCCTCGAAACGATTTTCTTTAGCCTGGCTGACTATAAAGAGAGTCCATAATGGACTCACAGAATTTCTGCCATTGCTGCATTTCTGATCTCGCTTTTATATCAGATGAAACTGGTTTTATATCAATTCCACTCTTCCTCTATTTGCTTGATTGAAAAGTTTCCTTGTTTTGATCGTCAGTTGCCTTAATTCTGCTGTCCACCAGGGGAAACTGGTGCATTTGCGGGGTCAGCTTAAAGGACAAGATTAATGGAAAGCTTTTCGTAGTTTTTCCTCTAGGACTCTGACAATATCCTCTATGTTCTTTATGGGTTGAGGATTCGACTAGTTGGTTGGAATTTTCTCCAGTCTGTCTTTCGAGGATTTCTGAGTGGCTTAGCTTTAGGGAGATCGTGATTGAAGTGTATCATCCTGTGATCAGAGAACGATTCCCTCCAATTTTCAACCTTTATTTTCTCCTACTTGAACCTTAATTGTACGCGACATCTATAGGAGGGATATTTAAACTCAAGAGATGAGGCAAAATGTGTTTCAGCTTCTAGAAAACCATTAGTACTTTTTTAGAGATTCCTGATTACCATGTATTTCATTACACTCCGAGTTCGAGTCACACTGGAGGTAAGGAAATAATCAAATTTCTGTTGATAAATCTATATTTGAAGCTAATGATTATGAATATTGTTTTGTATATTTGAAACTTGAAATTCTTCATGTACAAACTTACCATTTATGTGTTCACAGATCTCCAAGCGGAAGTTGTAAACATTTTTTGAAAATAAATGTGGAACGTTATGGGAAGAATACTATTATCCAATCAGGTGATATCAAAATATATAAATTTCAATCATCGCAATCCTCTGATGAGAGATTTCTTCCACTCATGAACTTTTGTATGGTCTTCTGCCATTCCAGTTTTGGTCTTCCTCGTTTTCTTCTATACCTGTTGGTTGCCAATTCAACATTTTTCTGGGCCACCTGGCATTTGGAATTCGTTCTACGTGTCCATACGAGGTAAATTGTTTCCTTTCAATGTCCTGAACTATCGTGCCTTCTATTCCCATTTGTTGTCTTATATTGTCGTTCCTTATTCTCTCTCTCCGTGAGATTCGCATGGATATTCTAATAGCATTCATTTCAACTGCTTCCACTTTTTTCTTTTGTCTATCTGTAATTCTCCAAGCCTCGGCTCCATATCATTGTCTCGTATGTATTGAATTTTCCCTTCTCTGTTATTTCCTTGCTCCATAATATTCCATTTAAGTGTCCTATTACTTTTTTAGCTTTAACTATTCGCTTTTCTATTTCTTTCACGTCTGTTCCGGTGTTGTCGAATGTGATACCTATAATAGATACTCATATTCTTGGCATTGCAGAATTTCCTGATCATCGTCTACTTCCAAGTTGGTACCTACTCTTCTATCAGCTTTCTAATCATATATTGCATGTCCTCTTTGTCACTGACCACTATGACCTGATCAATTGCAAACTAAAGAGTAAACAGGCACCTCATCATTTATCTCTATATCCATTCCATGGATCTTCCTCTTCCAATTTTTCAATGCTACTGCTACGTATATTTCAAAAAGCGTAGGAGAGATACAACATCCTTGACGTAGTCCTTTATTTACTATAAATGTGTCTGTGAGTTTTTCACCTATCTTAATTCTTGATTTTGATTCTTCTTTAAGTGCCGTTATAGGTGTGATTATATTTGTTCTAAAACCTTCCATAGTCTGAATACTGGGACTGTAGCATATGCTTTTTGTAGGTCCACAAATGTGTGCAGATCTCTTTTCTATGACTTGTTTTAGGCAAAATATGTTGTCCTTACCTGATCTTCCTGCCGCACTGCTCTTCTTCTTCTTACTCTCTATAATCTTCTTCAATGAGATCACCCAGGATTCTACCGTATAATCTGCTTAGAGTGCTTGTGACTGATATGTCCCGATAGTTATTGCAATCCACCTTATTTCCTTTTTTGTGAATGGATGATACAAAAGCCGTTTTCCACTCTTGTGGAACAGGATGTCCATTTAGGCTTTATTGATAATACATGTGAGACCATTTCAGCATTTCGGGGTATATCCCTTCTGGGACGCTAGCTTCACCTGACTTAAGATTCTTAACAGTCTTTTTTACTGTTTTTTCAGATATATCAACTACTTCTCCATGTACTTCAATATGTATTGGAGAATCTAATATGTATATATTCCGGTCTATTTTCTTGTAGACTCTTGTAGTGTTCTATCTATTGCTCTGTTTTAATAATCTGGATATTAGCTCTGTCCTTTCCCTTTGTTTGACATTTCATATAAATCTCCATGCCTCTGAGCATTACCTTCCTCCTATGCGGGTGTTAATTTCTTCACATTTCTTATCTTATAACTCGTTCTTAGCTATAGTTATGCACGTTATTAGTTGTCTTTTTGTGTCTTTATGAACTTCAAGGTCTTATTCATTTTTTTTTGGGCCTTGGATTAAAAAGCTCTATCTCCTCGTTCTACCAGTATTTCTTGTTGGTATTTTGTTCTTCCGTTCCTATTGCTTCTTGGGTGGCTTCTATAAGACTCCTCTTATGTTCTTATAGAGTTTATTGAAGGTACATTCTTCAGGGTTCAATAGTTTGCTGTCGAGTCGCCTCCGAAATACAGTGCTGTCATCTCTAAAACTTCAAAATTGTACTTTCTTGTATCCACTGTCTCCATTAGTATGGCATTGGTGATTTGTTCCTCTGGGTTCTTCTTCTTGTGGTACCAAAATAATTATTATATAAATGAAGATAACTTATACCAAAGTTCACTATACTGAGAAGCTCAATGAAATGGCATGAAACAGTTTATTTCGGATTTTACAAGAATAGCAGATAGGTACTTCAAAAAATATTCTAGACCTGATAATATCAAATGAACATTTATCAAAAACTGAATCAATAAATTTACGTAAAGTATCATGATATAGTCGGGATGATTCCATCCAAGATGTAGAAATTTCATCAGTAAGTAATACAGAATCAAGGAAGAGGAACTTCCACACATGAAGAACATGAAGAACAACAGAACTCCTGGAGTAGATGGCATTAGTCATCAAATGATGAAACTATGATGTAAATGGGTCAAAAAAGCCCTAAAAATTGTACATCAGAACAATGGTAGAATGTCATTATGATAATCTTGCATAAAAAAGTAGACATAACAGAAATTGGAGACTATCAAACTACTGTTATCTCATTTAGAGAAACAGACTACCTCAAAGAAAAGTCCAAAACCAAGGATCGGAAGATATTCGAGATTCCAGATGTTTCCATAGATGAATTCCAAAATGCTTTAAAAAAGACAAGCAACAATAAAGCTCTGGGGAAAGATGGTGTAACAGCTGAAGCCAGAAAAATAGGAATCGGGCCAACACTAATTAGAAAAATTCAAAATCTGTTCAATCTGTGTCTGCAGAGTCATAACATACCGGAAAACTAGAACAACCCAATTATGATCTTGCTACATAAAAAAAGTGATAGAACTGACCTCAAGAACTACAGATCAATAAGTCTACTCAATCACCTATACAAATTATATACTCGCATAATAATAAATCGACTATTGGACCTTTCCGGGAACAGGCTGGTTTCCGCTTTGGGTTTAGTACCAAAGATCACCTTCATCTCTTAGTATTGAATACAACCGTCCTTTGGTATTGGTGTTTGAAGACTTTCAAAAGGCGTGGAACTTCCTGTAATTATGGAGATCACTACAAGAAAGTAGAGTATATACGGAAACGACCACCGTAAATCTTCACTTAACCACCAGAAAATTTAAAATTAAAAGAAGAATCCGACAGGGTGATACTATTTTGCTGTTCATCACACACAATAAATTGCCTTGAGAGCGCAAAGGAATAATCGTCAATGGGGAAAGTCTTAATAATCTTCGTTTTGCAGATGACATATTGTCCTGATATCAGACAGTCTGCACGAATTTGAAGAAATGCTCCAGGAACTTCAAAATTTCACGCAAGAAGTGGGCCTAAAGATGAATTTTACCAAAACCAAAATGATGACTAATCTAGTTCCCAGTGAGCAAATACAGATAGGCAATAATAACAATAGTGGACAAATACGTAGAGCCCATTTATTTAAAACTGTTAGGGTGACATCTACCTTGTGCATCTACCCCCTTAGTTGAAACCCATTTTAAGTTTTCCTCCTGACATTTTATCAAAAAATAATGTTTTGGGTGAAATCGCGTGTCAATTTTTAAAATTCTCTATATCTAATCTATATTCCAGCCTATTTTCAAAGTTTTAAATGTGTGTATTATTTCAATGATTCATAAATTCACTTCTAGTTTCAGACTTGATCTGTACTTCAACCAAACTAAAATTCACCCACAACTATCCCTCGAATTCGACAAAAAGACAAAAAAGACAAGAGGCAGACGAATACCCACCAGGCCTATTAGAAATAATAGTTGAAGGTAGCAACAGTTTCTGAGTTCATTGTTGAATATAGGTACTATGTTTTGATTTTTTAGGTGATGACTATTTTTATCCTTTAATATGTGCCGACTACGACGTCTCCGACAATGCAGATGAAGAAGACGAAGAAGATGATGATGAAGATCGAGGTGGAGCAGGAGAAGATGAAGAGGAAGGAGAAGAAGAATCGTCGTCAGAATCCGAGGAGGACGACGAGAGCTCATTTGGAAGAAGTGGAGAAGAAAAACAGCGATTGTTTACAACAACTAGCAATAACAATATAATGTGAAATTTATAATATTATGTCAGTATTATTTTAATTATAATAAATTGTTCTTAGTAACCAAGATTCGTTTCACGTCAGCCTTCCTGTTATCGTTACTCTGTTCATAAACTAAACTTTTAATGGAAACATCATATTATTGTGTCTATATGCTACAAAAGCGCTTTTTAGCGTCTCTCATTCTAGGCAGGCTCCGCATGTTTGTTTTTCATTATTTTCCTCACTCGTTTCGTTGTCGCTCTTTTGTGTTCCGAAGTAGGTTAAACCTAATTGTGTTTTTCTCGGTTAATTATTATTGTTTTTGGGTAACATCTGCTAGTGTATCGAAACAATTATTAATAATGGACAATTTTTGTTATTTTTTGAAAAATCAAGAAGGCCATGAAACTATTGTCAAATTGTCAAAGATCGTCTATCGTAGGTGGTTTTGGAAATTGTGTCAGTTGTCAAAAGTAGGGTAGTTTTGTTTGCTACATTGAATTTTTAATACGCTAGTGGAATATTGCTTCAACATCCCTCAAAACCGATTCTAATCACAGTTATGAATTTTTTAGTTGGACATTCAATGATGAGCTAGTGAAAAAATTGACAACAGTCAAATGTCAGCTGTCAACATATCCATTTCCAACGACGTAGCTATAGCTTTCACATGGGGGGGTTTAGAGCAGTAATTGCCGCTCATGGTCTATGCTGGAAAGGGTAGCATAGTCAGAGCTGTTCCGAGTACAGGCAAAATGTATTCGGCTACCGGGTACAAATACTTAACGTAGAATGTTCTCGAATACAGAGTACAATTACAAGTATTCAATACCCAAGTATTCAAAGTACCGTGTACATTTATGAATACATTCTAATATCACCTTGCATTCCTACCCAATAATGTCATAGGTACAAGTTATTACGTCCTCTTTTAAACAGCCTTGATCCATCATGAAAATCTAATGAATCCTCATAGGCTACAAGCGCTGAGGTAGCTGCGAACTTAGCATTGCACATGGGTTATGACGTCACTTCCCCTTTCACACTTCCGTCACATTTCCCGAAATTTACCATCAAACCGCCGGTATAGATGTTCTCACATCAAAAATTGAAAAACACATTTTGGTTTACTAAATGAATTCAGCAATTTTGAAGTTTGATTTGGTTATCCAGAGTCCAGAATTTATAAGGACTCGGTTATAACTGCACAAATTATAATATAAAATTATATATTCTGAATCAGCATTAAATTATCTTTAAGACAGAATAAGATTCAATTCTCTATCTCGAATACTTCTGGAGATATTGAGGCTCAAAGTCAAAACTTTGTCTCAAATTTCACATAACATTCAAAGTTGATTTTTTTGAAAACGAAGCCCTTGAGCTCGGAGTCTCAAATAATCTTTTCTATAGCCCTTTTCAAGAGCTACAATTGAGCAAAAGATTCATGCCGATAGCTGCACTGATTTCCAAAATATGGCCCTTTGAAATATTTGAAAATCAAATTCCCCTTTGGAAAAATTAAAATTTTTAAATTTTTCGATTTTGCAGTTTTTGACTTCACCAATCGAAAGAGGAGGTGAAAATTAGTGAAAAAGCATTTACGCAACTTTGTTTTTTGAGTTTTAGGGCTTGTGAAAAAATAAAAACGATTTTTGCAATTTTTGAGCTGAGAAAATTTCAATAATTTGACATTGTCTTACTAAACCACTCATTATTCGGTTATAACTGCACATTTTATAATGTATAAGTATATATTTTGAATCAGAATTAAATTATCTTCAAGATAAAATAAGATTCAATTCTTTATCTCAAATACTTTTGAAGATATTGAGACTCAAAGTCAAAACTTTGTCTCAAATTTCACAAAAGATTCAAAGCTGATTTTCTTGAAAACGATGCCCTTGAGCTCGGAATCTCAAATAACCTTTTTCATAGCCCTTCTCAAAAGCTACAACTGGGCAAAAATTCATGCCGATAGCTTCACTGGTTTCCAAAATATGTTTCTTTGAAATATTTGAAAATCAAATTCCCATGCATATACCCCTTTGAACAAATTTGAATTTTTAAATTTTTGGATTTTGCAATTTTTGACTTCGCCACTCGAAAGAGGAGGTGAAAATTAGTGGAAAAGCATTTACGCAACTTTGTTTTTTGGGTTTTAGGGCTTGTAAAAAAATAAAAACCGTTTTTCCACATTTTGGGCCCAAAAAATGTCAATAATCTGACATTGCCTCATAAAATCGCTCATTACTCGGTTATAACTGCACATATTATGACGTATAATTATATATTTTGAATCAGAATTAAATTATCTTTAAGATAAAATAAAATTCAATAAAATTCAATTCTCTATCTTGAATATTTCTGGAGATATTGAGGCTCAAAGTCAAAATTTTGTTTCAAATTTCACAAAAGATTTAAAGCTGATTTTCTCGAAAATGAGCCCCTTGGGTTCAGAGTCTTGAATAACCTCTTTTTATTGAGATAAAATTCAGTAAAAATTTCAGCTTTCTATCTATAATAGAAAAAAAAGTTATGACCTTTCAAAGTTTCCTAAAATCTAAATCATAAGATGTGCCTCATGGGTTTGCAATTGGGTTGCTTATGACCGTGTTTGGGTTGTGCTTCAAGGTAGCTTTTGATAATTATTGTAAAAGGAAATCAGAATTTCCAAATTTATGGCCACAGACACAATGTCACAGACCGGCCCGGGAAAATTTCGGGTCAAGCGGCCAATTCAGCACTTCATGTGTAGGAGTTCAATTTTCTGATAAAAGAGAAAATTACCTACTCTAGGACTCTTAGGCCCCGTTGGACAATCTTGATTCAAAACATAGTTCAGCTGTACTCGACTGGTAGGTACTTCAACTTCCCCATTTGAAATGCATTGCTGTCAAAATTCATAGAATTTGATTAATACCTGACAGCAATGTTTTCCTAACAAGTAGTACTTTTCCGCACGCCAAAATAGTTAGACGAACGACGCGAAGCGGAGTTCGGTTAGGCTTCAAGTGCGGGAAGGAGACTTTGCGAAGTGTTGGGAACAATATCTTTCCTACGAGCTTCATATCACATAGCAAAAATTAAAAACTATCAAATGGTGTTTGTATGATAAAGGAACGAAAGAAATGCTTGCGGAAAAGTACTACTTTGCGCATGCTCGTAGAAATACGATCTTTCACATTCACATGTCACCTGGCTGATTTCCAAAGTTAAAATGTGTATCAGATACACTGTGGCTAAAACTGGAATACCCCTGATACAGATAATATTGGTGTTGTATCTTCAATATCTATATGCGCATTCCCTGATCATATCCTGAGCAACTTTGAGTGGAAATGTCGGCTCTAGCAATCGTTTCTTGAAGAGATAACTTGTAAAGGTCCCAATTACCAGCAAAAATCAATAATTTTTCTGACTAAATATTGCAATCAATTCAGATATCATGAGCATACTTTTGTCGGGTAGTGGGCCCTTTCGCGTTATTTCTCCAAAATATGTTGAGTTGAAAATTGCAATATCAGCACAGAGGTCTTTCTAAATTTTGGGCATACCTCTGTTGGACATTGATTCACATAACATATTCAAAAATACCATATTCATAATCAGTGACCTAGCAAGTCAAAACCGGGCCCTGGTGCAAGAGACTCCATCCATATGGACATCGGAAGGTTCAAACTCATTGGGATGGGGAGGGGGGGGGGGGGGGGTTATATGCAAAATGGCATATGGCAAATTTGAAAGCGAGAAATTTTTGGAGGGCTAGAAATAGCTATTTTTGTACAGGGTCTTTCCCCATATATAGGGCAGTTTGATGTTTGACGTTCAAGATGGCGTTGCGGCATAACAAACTTTTGTTGATAAGCACTCTGCATGTTATCAAAAATCAAAAAATATTTATGAACTAGTTTCAGACTGCTAACAGTTCTGGAGTACAGGAACAACTGATCGGAGGTGAAAAAAATCATCTTCATGTAACTTATATTTAGACCTTTCTACCTACTTGGGGCACAGCTTCTTGGGGTGTCCGTTTTGTACCTGATGCACCGGTATTTTATTGATGGATAAATATTCCAAGTAACTACGAACATTAAAGAAAATTGAAATAAATTAAAATTCATCAAATTAAACTCTGAAACAGGTAGAAATAAGTGAAATAACACACTATTATATCTGTGTTTATATGGAGGCATGTTTAACCTCAATGGTTTGTTTACATTTGTAACGCATCGCCATCTTGAATTATCAGCTGATTCGAACTGCCTAATTGACCCCCCACCTACAGGGGTTATGTGATTCACTCATGTGACTCGTGGACTTTTACGATTGAGATTGACAATTGACAGTTGACACGAGTACTGGGAGTCGGAGGGCTGACTGAAAAGAAATATGTAGAGATCGATATTACAGTTTTCTATTTCAGTTAAAAATCGCCAAATCGAAGAAGATTGCTTGGGCGGGCGTAATATGATTTTTTTTTTCGATTTTCTTGTATGTTGTGTCCAAAAATGGCTGGACCAGCCCTTGAGCACGGCACGACTTGCACGCCCTGTTGCTACGTCCCTGTTCATAATCACATTGTACGTTTGAATTTGAACCTTTCATCTTATAGAGCCTCATCGGCAGCTTTTTCATCAAAAATCTTTTCAACTCGTCTTTGTCTTGGAAAATGAGTAGGTAGTCATTGTTCGCGACCATTTCAGCCGACCAGCCCACCGGGAAATTTCCCGGTCTCCCGCCTGTCCCATCCGTCCCTGCTAATGTCAGATCTCAACTTGTCTGGAAATGTACTTGTGGCCAAATAAATATGTACATATTTAGTTACAGTCCAATAATTTTACTCACCAACTGCAAATGTAGGTATTCGAAAATAATGAAAATACCCGGGTATAACAAATGTATTTAAGTAAAAACGCATGTACGCGGGTATTTTGAAAATTACTCAGTACAATAAACAGTACCACGGGTACCTATTTTCTATATTCTTAAGCAGTTCAAGTACGAGTACAAGTACGCGATTCAGA